GGGCATGTGCCCCGACTGGGAATTAAACCGGGACCTCCTAGTTACTAGGAGGCACTCAACCACTGAGCCACACCCGCCGGGCTCTGCATTATTCTTTAACATTGACCAACACTGTTATGTGTTGTTAAGTGCATTCATGCTTCGGTAGTGTTTGACACCAGGTACTGGTTTATTGAATTTTACTTGGAATACAACTTTCCCAACTTCATGCACAGCTTGCCCCCTTCCCCAGCACACAAGCCCTGCTGAACGCTGTTAGCAGAGGACTTAGTGGAGGTCTGGCTTCTCTTCCATGAGCTGCTTGCCATGTGTTGTGTCATATTTCTGGTGAGGTCTTTTCTGTTTTGTGATGTTCCGTGGATGAGACCTTCACAGAAGCCTCTTATCAATCCTTCCTGCATATCTCTTATTTTCGGACAATTGCATGAAACCCATGTATTATGTGCATCTTGCAATGGGATTTCCCCTGTCACCACAGTCAACACACCTCAGCATTTCTGTCTTTGCAGGTTGTTGGCATAAAACAGATGAGGAGGCCTGTTGTGAGCAGAGTGTATCTGACCAAGGAGAGTCGAAGGTCAGGGCCCCTAAGACAGAGCCAGCAACCCAGAGGACCCATCTGTGTAAGCGGTGCTTCTCTGTGTTAAAAGCTATTCTGCACCTGACTGAGTCACAAGCCGCAGACCTTGAGCAGAAAGCCTTCTTCAGGGACGCATTTGTGAGAGACTTCTGTTTCACTGCAAACCCTCACCAGCAACAGAGAGATGGCACTCGAGAGAAGCCCTGGAGAGAAGCTGTGGACAGGGCCTCGTTTGTGACCAGGTGCAGCTTCTACTCATCTTGGCTGCCTTCATCCAGGAGGGAGGTTGGGGAAGATTTCCCAGCCATCTCAGAGCTTCTCCAGCACCAGGCCCCTCTCGACACTGAAGAGCCACACAGGGGCAGTGAGATTTCACAGGAATTTCTCAATAGAAAAAGGCATCACCAGTGGAGTGAAGGTGAAAAATCTGCCAGCCACAAACGGAAATTTGTACAACATCAGGCGGTCTGTTCTGGAGAAAATAGTCATGAGTGTAACAAATGTGGGAAAGTTTTTAGCCGTATCTTTAACCTCAATCGACATAGAAGTGTTCACGCTGGAGAAAACCCATATGAGGATAGTGATTGTGGGAAGGCCTTCAGTCAGAGCTCTGACCTCAGTCAACGCAAGAGGATTCACACTGGGGAGAAGCCTTTCGTGTGCAGTGACTGTGGGAAGGCCTTCAGAGAAAAGTTAACCTTTGTTAAACACTACAGACTTCACACTGGAGAAAAGCCGTATGCGTGTACTGATTGTGGAAAGTCATTCAGGCAATCCTCAGCTCTCACTTATCATCAGAGAGGTCACAGTAGAGAAAATTCTTATGAGTGTAGTGACTGTGGGAAGGTCTTCCATCAAAGGTCCTGCTTTACTATACACCTTAGACTTCACACTGGACAAAAGCCCTATGAGTGTACTGATTGTGGGAAGTCCTTCAATCAAAGCTGTCACCTCACCCAACACCAGAGAGTTCACACTGGTGAGAAACCTTTTCATTGTACTGATTGTGGGAAGTCCTTTAGGCAAAAGTTTACCCTCATTCAACACCACCGAGTTCACACTGGAGAAAAGCCATTTGAGTGTAGTGACTGTGGGAAGTCCTTCAGGCATGGCAATTCACTTACTCTACACAGGAGACATCACACTGGTGAGAAACCTTATGAGTGTAGTGAATGTGGAAAGTCTTTTAAGAGCAGTAGTCACCTCCTTTACCACAAGAGAACTCACACGGGAGAAAGGCCCTATGAGTGTAGTGATTGTGGGAAGGCCTTCAGCCAAAGATCCAAGCTCATGGACCACCACAGAAGTCACACTGGAGAAAAGCCTCATGAGTGCAGTGAATGTGGGAAATGTTTTCGCTACAAACCTAGCCTCCTCAGACATCTGAGGGGTCACACTGGAGAAAAGCCTTAAATGTGCAGAGAATGTTTTATCTTCCATCTTTCTCACTCTACAACACTAAGGAGACTCAGACCCATTTACCTGAATATAAACGCCTTTTATCTGAACATACACTCTGCTAGATTCCTCATTTACCAGAGGTACAAGTGAGGCCTGAAGGAGCTGCATTGCACTTGCTAACTTGCCGAGGACTCCTACCTCATTGATGTCACTGTGAGGATTTGTGGCTGAAGAGACCTCCTCTACCAGCTGGCTCACCTGCACAGTGTGCACCCGTCACCACCCCTGGTGCTCAGGGGAAAGGAATTCTGTGTTCCCCCTTGTGTATGAGGAAGTTATGAACACTCTGAGCTCTAAGAAGGAACTTTATTCCTTACTCTCCAGAGAATTGACCTGACCCCGGGTTCGTCCAGAGCCCCCGTCCTCAGCTCAAGAAGCGCTACCTCTTTCAGGGACATGGTGCTCCTCACCTCATGCTGCTATGGATTGTTTCCGGTTCCAGTTCACCAGCCTGCACGCTGCTTGCTGTGCACTGCTCTGGTTTATGTTTTTGTAACGGCGTTTTTGGTTTTGTACCTTTAATTTTGTTGGTTCTATTCACTGCCTGGGATGATTTGCAAGCACAGTTGTGATTTGTCAGCATGTAGAGTTAACAGATATGGTAACTCTGTGAAGGGACCGCAGAATGGCAGAAAATCACTGTTTGTCTAATATTGACTTATTTTGTGTTACTGCCCAAGGCCTTGAAATAAAGACCGCGTGACTTTGTGTTTCATTTATACAGGTTTGCTCCCTGGCCCCCCACTTCTGCTAGTGTAGGAGGCCTCCAGTTATTGTGTTTCTGTCTTACCTGCCTCCCTTACAGGACCATCCACCCTGCTTCGCTGAGATGTGTCTCTGTACAGTCCACCTTTCCTCATGCTTCTGCCTTTGCCTGGGCACGCTGTGTCCTGCCCAGGAGCTGGCAGAGAGGAGCCCGAGGCAGGCCCCTGGGAAGGATTGGGGTTCTGCGTCTGCCTGAGAGGAGCTTCCAGGGCTCTGCTGTCTCCATCCCAGAGTCTCTCCAGCCTGCTCTGCCATCCCCAGGCCCCTGGCCCGCTGCAACAGAACCTACTTCTGTGTCTGGGAGAAGCCCCTGATTTTTGGGCCCCAAATCAGTTCGCCTTTGGAAAGTCCTGCCTCTGGCCAGCCCACACCCACCCCAGAGGCCCACGGATGTTCAGTCTCTGTTCTTGCATGTTTGGGAGTAATTTCCTATTTTGATTTTATTAGAAATAAATCCTCCCCTCAGCTGCCTCCCCCCACCCCAGGCAGTCTTGGAGGTGCATGGACTAGTGAAATGATGCTGTGTGTTTTCAGTGCCGAAGAAATTCTGCAATATAAGCATTTCTAGAAAGAGAGTCTTGGACTCAACATGATACCACACTGGGGGAGAGGGTGTGTTGTGGTTGGTGTGCCCACCTCCCTAAATTGGGCCTGAAGAGCAGAGCCCTTCCCCTGTAGTGAGGCGAGGGACCCTGGGCCCCGAGGGAATAGTGGGCTGCTGGGGTGTGCGGTTGATGGAGCTGAGAGGTTGGGGCCTAGGACAGGGTTGGTGGGGGTGTTATCTGTCAGCACATGGGGCAGGTCCGTGAGTGGGAGGGCTGAGGGGAGGCGCTAGTGATGAGAACCTGAGTCAGGCTAAATGGAGTGGGCACAGCTGAGACCTGTTAGGACCAAGGGTGTGGACACTGTTGGGCTGGACTGTTCCAGACTCGAAGTACAGAGTCCCCTGCCCTCGGGACCCGGTGTTGTAGTGAAGGACAGCCCACAACCAAGGGGGCAGGTAGCTGTGAGGAGCTCAGGGGGAAAGTGAGCCCAGGGGTGGTCAGTGGGGTCTCCCTGAGGATGTGTGGGAAGAGGTGACAGGCTCCTGTGGGGAGCCTGCCCTGAGCATTCGGGAGCTGAAGGGAGGTCACCTTGGCTGGTTTGGACGACCAGGATCAGAAAGTGGGTCATGGCTGGGCGGTGGGCTCTGTGAAAGGACTTAACCTTCCCCTCAGGAGGCCTCACAGTTTGCCTGGAGCCCCAGGCTGCCTTCTGAAGGGATGATGTGCAGAACCTTCAGCAAAATCCCTGCCCAGAGGGAAATTGACAGTACTGAGTGCAAGTAAAACATCCGATGGCTTAAATATGTTTGCTTATGTATGATTGTCAGTGTATCTGTAAGGTACTTTAGTATACGCACCACAGGGCAGGTCTCCAGAGGAACATGATGAAGAAATGTACAAGGAGACAGCAATGATGGTAGACTTCCCCAGAATGTCAAAGTATCTGGTCGGAGGTCACCATAATGGGGCAGGATATGCAATAGAGGAAATAATGTTTGAGATGAGCCTGAGACGTACAGTACATCTGTCTCAGGAAATCATCTACAGAGACCCCACACAAGCCTCCACGTGGTCTCCAGGGGAGGCTCTGCTGTTTTGTTTTATAATGAGGAAGGGAGAGGGGTAGAGAGCTAGAAACATCGATGAGAGACATCGATTAGCTGCCTCCTGCACACCCCCTACTGGGGTTGTGCCTGCAACCAAGGTACATGCCCTTGACAGGAATCGAACCTGGGACCTTTCAGTCCGCAGGCCGTCGCTCTATCCACTGAGCCACACCGGTTAGGGCCAGAGGCTGTGCTTTAAGAAACACTGCAAGTTGTTTGACTTGTGCTTCCTGTGTCACTGGCAGTGTTCTTAGACATTAGAAACGTGGGTGTCTCTTCGTAAAGCACAGTGTCTAGTTCACCATGGCCCTCTTCACTCCAGGGTCTTAAAGTTTTGTAGAAATCCCTCAGAATCACCTTCTTCCATGGGAAATTTATCCCTCAAAGACTAACCTAGGTTTAATGAAATAAAGAAATGACTTTATTCAGAGATCCTCAGATTTTAGTCCTTAAGTAAAAGCGAGATGATGATCATGACAATAGTGTGTGATTTTTCTGAGGACGGAATATTGATTCTCTTAGCCTCTGAGGTGAAAGGAGACAGACTTCCACTGAGTTCAGGTGGTTCCTTTTTTAAAAATATATTTTTATTTCAGAGAGGAAGGGAGAGAGAGCTAGGAACATCAATGATGAAAGCGAATCATTGGTTGGCTGTCTCCTGCACACCCCCTACTAGGGATCGAGCCCACAACCTAGGCAGGTGCCATTGATTGAAATCGAACCCTGGACCCTTCATTCCGCAGGCCAACACTCTATCCACTGAGCCAAACCAGCTAGGACTGTGACAAAGTGTTAGACAAATCTTTAACCTCATTCAACATGGAAGAATTCACACTAGAGAAAAGCCCTATGAGTGTACTGATTGTGGGAATTTCTTCAGTGAGAGCACTGCTCTCATTCAACATCAGAGCGTTCACACTGGTGAAAAACTGCATGAATGTAGTGAATGTGGAAAGTCCTTTTGTCAGAGGTCTCACCTCACTCAACACCAAAGAGTTCACACTGGAGAGAATCAACATGGGTGTCGTGAATGTGGGAAATCTTTTAGGTGCGATACTCACCTCCTTATCCACAAGAGAGTTCACACTGGAGGGAAGATGTGGGAAGGTAGTGATTGTGGGAAGTCCTTCAGCCAAAAATCTAAGCTCATGGAACACCATAGGGGTCACACTGGGGATAGATCTTATGAGTGCAGTGAATGTAGGAAACCTTTTAGCTGCAAACCTAGCCTTGTTAGACACTTGAGAGTCCACACTGGAGAAAAGCCTTAAATACCTAAGGAATGTTTTTGTTTTTTAATTTATTGATTTTTTACAGAGAGGAAGGGAGAGGGATAGAGAGAGGAACATCCATCAGCTGCCTCCTGCACACTCCCCACTGGGGATGTGCCCACAACCAAGGTACATGCCCTTGGCTGGAATTGAACCTGGGACCCTTCAGTCTGCAGGCCGACATTCTATCTGCTGAGCCACACCAGTCAGGGCCCTAAGGAATGTTTTAAGTTTCTCACTCAGAACAACAACACTGAAGGAGACGCTTTGGGTCCAGTTTATCTGAATATAAACCCCTTTTATGAAAACACTAGAGGCCCGATGCACGAATTCGACCTGCATCCAGGATTGGTTGCCTCCTACACGTGCCCAACCAGGGCCTGGGATGGAGCCTGCAACCGAGCTACATGCCTTTGACCAGAATCAAACCCAGGACCCTTTAGTCCTCAGGCCCATGTTCTATCTGCTGAGTCAAGCTGGCCGAGCTGACAGTCACTCTTTATGTGTCAGCTTCCACCCTCACCCCAATCCTCAACCCGAATGCTAGGGACCAACACTTTCCCAAGGTGCCATGAAAATGAGTTCCTAGAAACATACAATGAACAGGACATCAGCCACACATACAGACTTGCCTGGGTGGGGTCCCCTGCAGTCCAGCCAGCTCCTGCCCAGCTAGAGCCACAGTTAGCCCAGACCTTCCGGTGCCTGAGACCCCCTCTCTGTGTCCCTGGAACCCTGTCCTCACAGCCCAGCCCACATGCACATGCCTGTGCACACACACACACACACACACACACACACACACACACCAGGGGAACGTTGCCTTCCCTTCCCGAGACTCACCTCCTCTCGGACACAGACGTTCACGCTGGGTGATCCTGGCCCGACGCTGAGCTGCTGGGGGGCTTGGCTGTCAGCGCTGGTGCCTCTGATGTGCTTCCCAAGGCTCCTCCCTTTTATAGGGCCCAGGGGTCCGCAATGAGATTAAAGGCTGTGATTGGATAAACAGCCTGTGACAGGGTGTCTGGTGGCATCTAGGCCTCCAGGCTCCAGCTCTAACACCGGGTCTACACCCCCTGGGCGGGAGCGAGGGGCCATCCTCACACACACTCCTTGTCTGCGGGGGCATCGGACCTTCTCACTAAGGGGCATGCGGAGGTGAGCATTGTCTCAGGGACATTCTGGTCAGGGTTGGTCATAAGGGAGTGTCCTATAAACTTCAGAGAGGGAGAGGTAGACAGAAAGAGAAGGGGAGGGGGAGAAACATCAATGATGAGAGAGAATCATTCATTGATTGGCTGCCTCCTATATGCCTCCCACTGGAGATTGAGCCTTAAACCCGGGCATGTGCCCTGACCTGGAATCCAACCGACACCTCCTGGTTCATAGGTGGACGCTCAACCACTGAGCCATGCGGGCCAGGCTCCTACAAACATGTAAAACGGGTTCATGTACTCTCCGTCCGGCAACAACAGTTTCTCATTGAAGACAGCACCCTTGCCCTGGCTGGTTTGGCTCAGTGGATAGAGCGTCAGCCTGCTGACTGAAGGGTCCTGAGGTCAATTCCTGGTCAGGGCACCTGCCCAGGTTGGGGACTAGATCCCAGTAGGGGGCGTAAAGGAGGCAGATGATCAATGGTTCTCTCATCATTGATGTTTCTCACTCTCCCCAACTCTCTAAAAATCAATAAAAACATTTAAAGGAAAAGAAGAGTGTTAAGATTGAATTGACTCAACAACATCAATGTGAGTGTGGGCCCTCTCGCTTTCTTTCAATTTTTATAAGGAAAACCATGCCTTGGCCGGTGTTTATAGAGGGTGTCCCTGGCATAACTGTGTACGGGAACAGGAAGCAGCCTGGAGCGGGTCGGCCTCAGGTTGGCCTGTAGTGTTTGATTCTTGACTTCGTGCAGAAAAGATTTCACAACGTGAATTCAGGAGATTTTGAGGGAACGTTTATTGGAGCTGGAGAGAGTGATAAAAGGAGGGGATCAGGATAGAGCAAGCAACAGCAGAGCGGGGCTCCCAGGGCTCTAGGAACACTGTGGGAAATAAGGGAGCCAAAGCGGGGCTGCCGTTAGCTCTCTGGACAATCAGAGAAAAGGGGGCCTTGAGCGCGGGTTCAGGGGCTCAGCCCGGGATGAGCTGCTGCTGCTCGGTGCTGCCCCGGTGGCAGGTCAGGTGGGGACCCTTACAAGGTGAGGAAAGGGTCCTCCCGGCAGCAGCTGCAGCGGCTCTCATCTCTCATCTTTCCAGGCTCTTGGTGTCTCCTTCGGCATCCGGAAGCGTGGCCTCTGGTGTGGCCGTCTGTGATGGAGTCGTCACAGTGTTGAGGGACATGAGGGCGCGTCAGTCCTCCACACCAGCGGAGGCGAAGTCGAGAAGACCATCTGTCAGGGCCAGCCTGACGGGTTGAGCCGGGCTGAGGTAGGGAGGTGGGAATTGAGAAAAGAAAGAAAGACAGGAGAGCGGGATCGGGAGGACTACAGGTCAATCGAGGATCTGCAGTAAGTTTATTAACCACGCGATGCCTTTTATACACAAAACACTGAATAGGAGGTCTGTCAAGAGGAATGGATTCTTTGTTCCTCTTAATCTCTAAGGGAGAGACAGAGCAGAAGAACAAGTTCTCAGTACAGCAAATCTCAGTAAATAAATAGTTACAGACTTCTTGATAAGCCATGAAAGGCTGCTCTCATTCTACAAAGGTTGCTCTCATTCTACTGATAACCGCCATCCAAACAAGTCTGGGAAAACTGTGTGGGTGAGGGTCCCAGCCTTGCTAGCCCCTTCAGGTACAAGGACCGTGTCAGCTTACACCCGGTCTCCAACACCAGGATTCTCATTCACCTGCATCTCAGACCGTGACAGTAGAGAGGTGGGACTATGTCTAAAGAACAACTGTTGACACAACGTAGCTCTGCAGCCAAAAGATACCGGCATTACCAACAGAAAATGTCTGCAGAGTAGCGTGCGTCTGATCTTGAAAGAAGGCGGCGCCTGCGACAGAATGTATCTGAAGAGCAGCTACTGGAAAAACGTTGGTCTGATGCCAAAAAACACCAGCGTCATCGACAGAAAATGTCTAAAGACCAATGTGCCTTTGAAGTTGAAAGAAGGCAGTGGCGCGGACAGAATATGTCCTCATTCTACTGATAACCGCCATCCAAACAAGTCTGGGAAAACTGTGTGGGTAAGGGTCCCAGCCTTGCTAGCCCCTACAGGTGCAAGGACCGTGCCAGCTTACACCCGGTCTCCAACAACCATCATCCTGGAGGAGGGCGAGGAGGTCCTGCTGGGTGCTGTGGGCCAGACAGGAGACGACCCCTCCGCCAGCTTCATCAAGATGCTGCCGCTGCGCCCTGTGTGAGGCAGCCTAGGAGACCGAGGAGAGCACGGGGACCTGGGGTTTATCTTCCGGGCCCCGAGTCTGCACCCCTTATGAGCAAGATGACCCATGCCAGCCCTAAGGCTGCCAGGAAGAAGAAGCTTACGGGGATCGAGGATGAATGACAAGCAAACTGCTCCCAGGAGGTCCAGGACCTGCCCTCTGGCAGGGAAGCGGGGGCAGTGCTGTCCTCTCCCTGGAGGGTGAGCCTTTGTGAGCCCCTCCCACCCCTGCCTGGAGCATCTGGCAGCCCCAGACCTGCCTGTGGGGGTTGCAGGCTGCCCCCCTCCTAACAGACTGAGGGCTGGGGGGATCCCAGCAGGGCGAGGGCAATCCCTTCACCCAGCTGCCAAACAGGCCCCCACCCCTGGGCCTTCCTCCTCCCTCCATGCCTGACGGTTCTGGACCACCAAACCGCTTCTGATCTTCTGATTCCTCTTGGGTGGAAACAGACCAAGTCCCCCACCCCAGGCACCCCAGTTTCGGAGAGGGGCTGTATTGTTTTTATTGACACACCTACTTGCAACCTGTCCCACCACTCCCCTCGCCCCAGCGCCCCATTCCCAAGCTGCCAACTTCTAACCACAATACGGACTCTGTGCTTGTCTGGTTCCTTCTGTGTATAAATGGAATGTTGTGAAGATAACCCCCCGCCCCCCCACGCTGTCTGGTTGCCCTCCCATTTCCACCTTGTCTCGGCTGCTCATGGAAGCAGGACCAGGAAGGGGCCCTTGAAGAAGAAAAAGGAGGAGGAGGAGGAGGAGGAGGAGGAGAAAAAACAACAATAAAAACAAAGAAAAGGGGCCTTGACCGGTGTGGCTCAGTGGATAGAGCCTCGGCCTTCGGACTGAAGGGTCCCAGGTTCAATTCCGGTCAAGGGCATGTACCTTGGTTTCGGGCACATCCCCGGTAGGGGTGTGCAGGAGGCAGCTGAGTGATGTTTCTCTCTCATCGATGTTTCTAACTCTCTATCCCTCTCCCTTCCTCTCTGTAAAAAATCAATAAAATATATTTTTTAAAAAATTTAGGAAAGCTTGGCTCGTATGGTTCAGTGGTTGAACATCAAACTATGAACCTGGACATCCCGGTTTGATTTCAATGGGGCACCTGCAGGCGTTGTGGCTGGATCCCCAGTGCGGGGGCGTGCAGGAGGCAGCTGATCAATGATTCTCTCTCATCATTGATGTTTCTATCTCTCGCTCCTCTCCCTTCCTCTCTGAAATCAATAAAAATATATTTAAAATAAAAATGAAGAGGAGGCAAAGCCCACCTATTCCACTTCCCACGCACCTCCCAGCTGAGCTTGAGTCCTTTTGCACAATAAGCCCTTTCCCCCTGTCTTTCCCACCGCCGTGGGAAGGGACTACATTTCCCAGAATGCGTAGAGTGGAGCGGCAGCATAGCTATCCAATCAGAATGTAGGGAAGAGGGCTCCCGCGGTTGACGCATTACGAGAGGGCGGTACTTCCGGTTGCTGCCTTGGCGGCCGCGTTAGCTGCTCTGGGACTGGTTTGTAGGACTTTCCCGAGCCCCGCTCAGTCAGGACCGAGGTGCCGGGTCTAAATTTCCGGGAGTCGTTCTCCGCGCCGCACAAACGCGGGTGTGAGGCTCGGCGA